AAGAAGAAGAAGAAGAAGAAGAAGAAGAAGAAGATTGGAACGAAAGATATAAAAATATAGAAAGAAAATATGAAAGAACTAAGAAGAGCTTCCACCCCAGTATTGCCTTACCTCGTAGATTCAAGTAGTTGTTTGCAACACTAACACTCGCAGCTGCTTCGATCTTCAGAGCTGTCTCCAGGAAAACTAGCAGTACGAAGAAAATCAAACACTTCTTCCCAATCATCTTGTAAACGGCTTTCTCAAGGCGAAACAAGGCTGGATTTCTATGTCTCTAACAAGTTCTCTAGAGTCCCTCAAAGTCTCTACAATGTGGCCAATTCATCCAAGTAAGCTGCATTTATGTTATTAGTATTCTCATTTCAAAGTATAATTCCTGTGTTTCTAAATAGATTGATCATATTAATAAAAATATAGTGTTTCAGCGACATCTTTAACTAATATTTATTTCTTTAGCGAGATTTTTCTTGTTACTTGTAGATACAGTAAATAAGTAAGTGGATTAAGTTTAATGTAGCAAATCAATTATTCACTAGCTCATCTCTTACGCAACGTGACTCCACTAATAACGTGTTACCATTGCCATCTCCATCAGCTTACTGAACAGTTTTGGTAGGAGGGGAGGGGTGGGAGAAGGGATAGGGTTTCCCTTTGCGCGTGTGTTTGTGTTTTTGGAAATTTAGAGTCACTTTGGTAATCTGATAATTGGCCAAAATTTGAAGCCAAAAAGAAGGAGAATCGTACCTCTATAAAATTTAATGAAAATTTCAAATTATTTAAGAACAGAGTAGCTCCGATCCCGCTAATATCTGTGCTTTTAACTCCCCCCTCCCCCCCTCCCTCCACCACTCAACTCCAAACAGTTGTATGTTTGATGTAAAGCAATATCAGAAATACAGTGGCGGATCCAGGGGAGGGGTGCAGGGGATGCTCACTCCTCCCTGGTTCGACTTTGTGCCCCTACTTCTAAGATAACAAATACAAAATAATGTTTTTTTCCCTTTGATTCTAAGGGGTGCACCCCTCCCTGGGTTAATTTTGTGCGCAGCACCCCTCCCTGAACAAATTCCTGGATCCACCCCTGATATAGAGTGTACAATAGACATATCGTACTGGAAAGAGGACCAAAATTAAACTTATAAACTGTCAGGTAGTATTTCGTGAAGCTATTACATGTGCCAATTTAGGTTTCACCGCTGGAGTTATGAAAAACTAAAAAGTAAGTTTCAATTTGGATTTTTGAGATTTCCTCTTTAATAATAGAATATTGCGTGGATATATGAATTGCTTACTATCAATCACGTGACGTTTTGGAGTTGACTGGAGGGCAAACAAGCGGTT